CACCTCGAAAGCTTTTCATGACGCTTGCGTGCTTGGGCTCCCAGATTAGGACTTGGAGACTTGCATTCTGTCTCAAAAGGAACTCTAGAAACATGCCCCGGGCCTGTGTTGGAGCGCCTTTGGCACCTTGTCAGTTCTCCATTTCGTCAGTGGGTCTCGCAGCACAGCCCAGTCCGGGTCAGCTGCGATGCCTCTTCTGCGACCTGGAACGCTTGGAGCACCTACTGGCAGCCCCTGGCGGCCGCCCCATCCTGGTGCGAATGCTTCAAGTGTCCTGGCTGCAGTTCATGTGCTTCGCTTCCTACCGCAGAATCAAGTACTCAGGCCCTCCGCACATTGGATTTGGAGATCTATGATAAAGCTCTGGCACGTGTCGGGGAAGTGACGCCGGACATCTGTCGGGTCGAGGAGCTTGTGACCTCCGAACTCAGCCAATCACCGGCGAAGCCCGCGCCGGGGTCGGCAGAGGCCGCGGGCAGAAGGGACACGCCTGCTTCGAGCACGTCCCCTCGCCTGGCATCAACCTCCCCAAGCACCAAGCGCGGGAAGCAGAGGGAAGGGCACAGCCCAGCTACTGTGGACAAGAGACGCAGAAAGGACAGGAAGACTCAGAAGTCTGAGGACGTTGAGACGCCCAAGAAGGAGGACACTAAGGACCTCGGCTGGCTACGCAAGCGAGACTGAGATCGAAGAGGTCCATGGAGCCGCTGCACCCTGCGCCAGACTGCACCTGAGCACGCCGTAAGCGCATGCCCTGAGGCCACTGGCTCTTTTGCTTTTTTGACTGCGGCAGCCAGCAAGGACTCCCGACCGGTGTGCACTGTCAGAAAAAATGAGTGTGGGACGGGCTGCGGACAGTTACTTCCGCTGCTCGACTTGTAGGCTTGCTTGCAGTTGTTGCGGGTCATGCTGAGGGAGTCATACCATGTGTGCGACACTCCCTTTGTGGCACAGAGCACAAGATTCAGCGAGACGAGCAATTAGCCTCTAGCCTCCCTATCAGTCTCTCTTGGCAGCATGGCCTACTCCTCCTGGTCCGACTCCTACAAGGGCGGCTGGGGCAAGTCCAGCAGCTGGGGCGGCGGCAAAGGCAAGGGCAAGAAAGGCAGCCGCAAGAGTGACTGGGGATGGGAGGAGCCCCAGGATGACCGTCAGGAAGCCCAAGCACACACCGGTCGCATCTGGAATCGGTACCAATTCCCGAAAGTCATCCTCAAGGCCAGCGCTCACGACGATCGCTCGGCTTTTGTGAAGGACGTGAAGCGCTCCCTCTCGGATGACGTCTTCTTGGGCCCGAAGAACCTCAAGAAGCTTCTCACTCCAGATTCTACCCACCTCCTGCGCCGTCCAGGCGTGGGGGTCAGCGAGGCTGTGGGGTCCGTGCAAGCAGGCCTCGACGTTCTCGGCGCGCTGGCGGACGTGGAGTTGGAGGAGCTGGCCAGCATTTTGCAGGATGACAATTTGCACGCAGCTCTCGCACAGCTGAATACCCATGATGGCAGTGCGCAGCACACGCAGAAGGAGCTTCGTGCGGCCATGGCCACGCTCGTCGACAAGCTGGCATCCGCTCCTCGTCTGGAAGAATTGGTGACGAAGCTGACGATTGCCAGCAGTCGGCTCTATTTGATGGGCACCGCCTTGCTGCCCCTGCTGCTCTGCACCTCGGACCCCGAGTGGTGGGTCACCAACATCCCAGAGGGCGCCTCCGATTCCACCTACCTGCAGGAATGGCGCAGAAAGGGCAATGACCCCACCAGGATGCAGAAAGCTGTGGCAGCCCTCCTTGGCGAGCAGCACGAGGAGGACAACCAACGGGACCGCGGGAACGCAGCCACCACACTCTTCAAGAAAAGGCCAGCGATCCAGAAGGCTAGCTCCAGCCAGAGCCCTGCCCGTGCCAAGGGCGACAAGAAACGCAAGGCATCCAGCTCGCCTGCAGTGTCTAGCTCCCAGGACGGGAAGAAGAAGAAGGACAAGTCCAAGAAAGAAAAGACCTCCAAGAAGAAGCGCGCTAAGTCATCCTCCTCGAGCTCATCCTCGACCCCTATCAAGACGAAGAAGGACAAGAAGAGGGACAATAAGAAGGACAAGAAGAAGCGAGATGAGCCCTCCGCGTCCCCTTCCAAGAACTCGCATCGTCCTGCCACGGAGAAGGAGGTCCACCTGAGCATTCATCGGATCGGAGCGGTGTCGCCCGAGGGCAAAGCCGTTGTGAAAGAGACCGACCCTGTGGACAAGGTCCAGATCAGCGACGATAACGAGACCGTCTCCTCAGCTGTCTTTCGTCTTATGGACGCCCAAGGCAGCAAGGCGGACTTCCCCAACTGGGATATCCGCGTCATGGACGAGGACTTCGTGGTCCGCAGCTTGGACGCCGCCTCCGCCCTCGCCAGAGACAACCCGAAGGTTGTGCTCGTGCGCAAGGGTGGCTGATTGCCCGAGGGTTACCGTAATTTCCTTGCCATGTCTGCTGCGTTGAGGACAGAACAGCCTCGACCGCGACTGGTCACAGCAAACCTTTTAACTCGTTTCCAGCCAGAGGGCCAACATGCACAGTGCCGTTGCTGCTGCTTCAAAATCAACCGAACACAAGACGCGCCGTCCGTAGTTGCTGCAGGGTGCCTACTCTCGCGCATATACTTTGTGAAGCTGTCGGTAGTTCGGGTCGTCATGCGCTCGTGACTCTGCAGCACTGGCTCTTGCTGTGGCACATCACCTCGGTGACCTCCTTATTCTACTCCCAGCAGGCCAGGCTCACGTGGCTGATTGCGCGAGAGCCTTGCGGCAGCCCTTGCCAGGCACCGTCATGCTACGCAACCTTGGCGCTGCTTCGACTTGGGTGTCCCTCTTGATGTTGGGCGCGGCCATGCTTCTTGCTGCAATAACAAAATCCGACTGGGCCCGAGCCTTACTCCTGGGGTTGACTCCTGGCCTCCCGCGTTTACTCTCTTGCTTGCCGCGCTCCTGGCAGGACTTTCACATGCGTGGAGAAGCGCGTTATCCCGATGGACAGATGACCTGGGCATTGAGGATCACAGGTACGTTGCTCTGCCTCGTGTTTGCTCGAATTCACGTTTTCAACACACCTTTCACATGCGGTCTGACTGGTTCTTCCTTTGCAGGCAGTACAACGACGTCGAGGCTGCTCCCCACACCTGGTCCTTCTACGACGCCGGATCCCTCCACCAGCAGACAGGCACCTTCGCTTCGAGGCGCCGCACACTCTACGACTACATCGCCCGCTTCCTCTTCAATGGCCTGGGTGTCGACACCAACGACGACCAGTCCGGCAGGTCCACGGGACGATGGCTCCCAGGCATCCCAGCCTGTGCGGCGAAAGCCTGCAGCCCGAGCTACCCGGCCCCATGAGGCCTGTCCGGGTCGACCAGGGCTGCCGTGCACCTGGCACACGTCCCAGGCCGGTG